TTATCCTTATCCTAGGAGCTGCCGCCCCTAGGGATGAGATGGGCCTTGTGATGGGCCTCCATCAATTTACAGTGTAAATACATACAAAATAATACAAAATTCAAGGCTTCTCACTTCCGTATTTGTATTTGTACTCCTTCCAAACTGAGCCTGAATACCAAAACATAATGATGTAAATCGGGCTGTATTGGCCTATGGGCCAGACTGTGTCGTCCTAGCCTCTTTTGGGATACTTTAGAGGCTGGGCCATGCCATGCTACGGCCCCGGGCCCCGGGCTCGTGCTAGGCTATAGGCTAAGCCTTGGGTCAAGCCATGAGAGACATATTTTTTTTAAAAGATAAAGAAATGAAAATTTTAAAATAAATTAGTAAAATAGACAAAAAAACTAAAAAATTTGTAAAATTTTATTTTATATGAAATTTGATATATACAATTATTCATATATGAAATAATAAATGGAAATTAAAAATTGAAATAAAATAATATAATCATATTATATGTTATTATATAATTATTATTACAAGCATGTCGGCCCATGGGCCTGAAAACTTAAACCTAGGGGTGAGCAAAAAACCAAACCGAAAAATCAATTAACTGAACTGGTCAATTTGGTTTTGGTTCGATATTCTTAAAAAGCCGAAACCTAATAGGCTAATACCCTTTCTTGCTCTCTCAGTCTCTCTTGTCTCTTTGTCTTCCCCAATCCCTAGTGGTTAACCAAACTTCCCCTTGCTTTCCTCCAACACCGATCGTCATTTGATCGACAGCCTCTCCCCTAGTGGCCAGTTTTCCCCTTACTTCCTCTCTCTCTCTCTCACATGTCATCTCCGTCTTCGCTATGCCAACCATCAAGCAACAATGCCAGTCGTCGCCTCGCCGGCAAGCACCAAGCCAAAGCTATTAACCTTAGCCAACCCCAGCTAGATTGGTTGCTCCCTTGACTCCGCCAAGACCACCACCTCTCAAGCTCTCTCTCTCTCTCTCTCATCTTTCATCCTTGTGTCTATGCCACCTCTCAGGCTCTCACTTCAAGCAACATCACCCACCAACCAGTCTAGCACCAGCAAATCATTGGCCACTACTTCACCCTTGCCCCTCTACCGTGTTTGTTCAGGTATTTCTTTTATTTTTAATTTTGAATGCATAAAAAAGCCAAACTGTGGTTAACCAGTTGCATCGGTTCAATTTCGATTAATCGAACCGTGAGCATCCCTACTTAAACCCAGCACGACCCATACCGTATTGCTCAACGGGTTTGTCCTATCTGTGTGGTCCGCATTAATCAAAACTTTGGCGATTGGGAGCGGAAGCAAATTTTTTGGAAATGGCACGTCAATCCATGCAGGTCTGCACTTGTCTTTTTCATCAAAAGAATATTAAATATAATTACTCTTGTACCCCCACACCCATGGTAACGTGCCCGAGGACCTTCCACGAAATCCCCAAACTTTCACCTCCGGACCCTGGAGATGAAATTCTGCGCAATTGCAAAAAATGCCCACCAACGCAAGCGATGGTTATCGTAAATATCGGTGCTTATTGGTCTTTTTCATGGTTGGATCCCTTCAAAAATTTCAACCTTCATTTTGGGTCTGGTCTCTGGTGGTTCACACCTCTTTGCTTGCAGAATGCAGAGTTCGAGGGTGCATGAGGAAGCATAAATCACCAGAGTTTGCATTCTCTACGACTCTGCAGCTCTGCCTACACTATTATCCAATCCTCTTGGCGCGAATGGTCTCCAGAGTTTGATCATCTCATGCGTACCAATACCACACATCTCCTTACGGTTTCGTTCGGTTACAAGTTATTGACTTCTTTATACCCAGCTCGGTTTCTTAGCTATCTTTACATAGAAAACTAGAAAAATTAGAAATTGTTGTTGTGGATTGGGACGAACGACGAAGACAACACAGTAACCCTGCAACGCTCGATATTAACGTCATCTCCTCCCTCAACAGGTTCATCTTCTTTTATTTATGCTTTTTTATTATTATTGTTTTTTAATTTAATTGTTTTATCATCTTTTTTTTTTCGATTTTCCGTATCTCCCACCCATAAACAATTTGTCTGTCTTGAATCGATTCTCCATTAATTCACCATCCGGCGTGGCTCTGCACTTCTTAGAGAAAACAAAACCCTAAGACTGTCCGATATTTTGTTCTTCCACCCTCTTTGGATGAGCCGCATCCTAACATCTAATTTTATGTGCATTAAGGATCCTAGGATTTTAAATTTCGGAGCTCTAGTGTTTTCGGCTTCCTCCTCTATGGAGCTGCAGCTGGTGCAGAAAGGTTTGGATTTTTCTCGGAGAAGGAAGAAATGGCTATTGCTCCTTGCGGCCTTGGGTTTCACCGGATTTGGCGTTTATAAAGTTTATAATTTGCCTTCGGTGGTCAAGAAGAGAAAGAGATTCTTTAAACTCATGGGAGCTTTAGTTTCTGTGGCCGAACTGATTTCTGACTCCGCAGATACTATGGGAATCGTGTCCAGGGACTTGAAAGAGTTTCTTCAGTCAGATTCTGATCAAATTCCAACCAGTTTGAGGCAGATTTCCAAAATTGCGACGTCCGAAGAGTTCTCGGAGTCGCTGGTAAGGGTCACGCAAGCTCTGACCGTGGGAATTTTGCGAGGTTATCGTTCTGAAGCAGGGAATGACAATGGAGCACAGTCCACTTCTAGTTTCTCCGACCGGGTTATGGACAGGCTTTTCACTACGGCTGGGTCGGGTTTTGCTTCTGTTGTCGTTGGTAGCTTTGCCAGGAGCTTGGTCTTGGCTTTCTTCTCTGATCGTCAATCTTCGGGAGGTTCGCCCCCAAACATACAGGAGAGTGTTTCCCGTCTTGGATATGATTCCGCATCCCTCCCGAGATGGGTTAATGTGGTCTGCAGCGATAAGTGCAAAGAACTCATAGGTGATTGCATCCAATTGTTTGTGAGCACAGCTGTTGCTGTTTATCTCGACAAGACAATGGAGATCAACACCTATGATGAAATTTTCTCCGGTATGACCAACCCCAATCACGAAACGAAAGTGAGGGACATATTGGTCTCTGTCTGTAATGGGGCTGTGGAAACCCTTGTCAGGACATCGCACCAGGTATTGACCACATCTGCTTCGGATTCAGATTCTTCCGCATTGGCTGTTGAACAAGGTGAATGCTCGACTATAGCTAAAGATGAGGTTTCGGAGCAAAGGGCATTATTACCGTTGGAACAAAAAGAAAGAAACTCATTCGATGGGATTAAGGACAATGGATGGGTTGGTAAAGTGTCATCTACGTTGTCAGTTCCGAGCAATAGGAAGTTTGTTCTGGATGTTACTGGGAGAGTGACCTTTGAAACTGTCAGATCTTTTCTAGATTTTATGTTATGGAAGCTATTGGATGCTTTGAAGAAGAGTCTAAATGTTGCTCATGAGGAGGTTGTTGAAAGGGGTCTGGAAGTCGTCAGATATGTCAGTGCAAAGTCTTCTGTGATTGTAACCGTATGTCTCGCTTTATGTTTGCATGTATTGGGTGGAACCAGGGTCTTGATGCCAGCTTAAGATCACTCATTTTCTTCTTTCTTTCCTCATAAAGTGAGTTTACATCATGGCTGTGTTTCAGAACCTTTGTTCTGTCAATTTTTATTTCTTACTCCAAAGTCATCAGAGATGGGGGATGCTGCCTACATTATTAAACTGCTGGCATTGTCAAATTTTCCATGTGCATCTTATAAGAGTCTCCGACTTGTGGCAACTATAAATTTCATTTTACTAGTTTGATTGGAGGAAAAGTGAGACTTAGTTCTTGGAGGCCAGGGGTTTTTAAGTAGCATTGTAGCAACCAAACCATTGCAGGATGCAAATACAAATGTGTAGCAGGATGCAAATACAAATATGTTTGGAGATAACATTGGAGGGAACCTCTAGACCAGTAAACATACTTTAATTTGTGGGAGAAGCTTGTTTTCTTGCTGAAAGATTGGTAGGATGACCTCTTTAATAAGTTTTGTTCTTGTCTGCATTTTTGAGGACGAGTTTGTTAAGTTGGCAATGCTCAAGCTGAAGGAGAAGAAACAAGTGGCAGGATCAGTTCCAATCATACAGGTCAAATTGATGACTTGTTCCTTTTGTCATGATAATATGTTCAATGCTTCGAGGGATCAGCCTTTTATTTCTGCGACAAATATAAAAGTAGTGCCTCTATGGATGGCATATTGTATAAATGTTCTTTTCATATGCATGATAAGAATAGCAACAAGACAGAACTTATGGTACATCTGACCATGATCATGTTTCCTAACAATATTTCTTTTGTATATTTAATGATAAGAAAAAAATGATTTTTACTAGATTAAAATGTAGGAGTTTTTTGTGCTCTGCCATTATTCTGACTTTAACATCTGTCAATTTTGTAAGGTTCACTGTACTTGAAACGTTTTTCTAGTATATCTGTAAATTCTACTAAGCTGATTTGTTGTCTATCAAATTCTGAGTGACCATTCCCTTATTTACATATTTTTAATACTTTTGAAAATGGGACCATATTGCTCTCCTTTTTGGACTGCTACCACCACATAGGTGAGATTTAGTCTGATGCATGTCCTACATTACTAGTTTCCTTCCTCTTCAGTTAGTTTTCCTGTTTTAAGAATGTGACCTAAAAGTTCTACTAACTCACCTTCTTTATGTTTCAGTTTTAACTGGAATAATGAATCTATTTTGTATGGAGGGAACTAGTGTAGCTCTATCATGATCTTTCTTTCTTCAATAACAATACTGATAGAAAAAGGAAAAAGGAAAATTTGATCATGTGAATACTGTATTAGAAAGTTGAAAGCAACGAGAAATGAAGAATCAGAGTTATTCTAGAATTATATTATCTCTTTATCTTCATTTTCTTTTCTGGCTAGCTTCTTGTTGTAATCAGTTGGAACTTGGAAGTCAAAATCATGCCGTGGAACTTGGATATCCCTATGAGCATCTTGGACACACCATGGAGTTCTAACCCAGATTTAAGAATAAAGTCTGTGTAGATGCATTTGAGCTTTCATGAACATTTACTCTAAAAAAACAATCTAATCATGCTGTATTTCTGATTTTGCATCATGGTATAAATTAGAAATTGAAGTCCAGCTCAACAAGGTTCTCTATGCTGAAGCTTAATTATGTAATATTAGAATGCCCATTAAGATGGAATCTTGTGGATAGAGCAGCTTTTTTAGTTTTGATCAATGGTTTATAAAGATGTGATTTCATGTTAAGCATTTGAGAATAATAGGATCTAGATCAGACTGTCCCTTTCCAGCTTTGTTGGCACTTTGCTTGACATTTCCTGTGATAAATTGATTATTCTCTAAGCTAAAGTTAGCAGAGAGTGTTGACATTTACACACTTTTAATGTAAGTGTCACAAGAAAGGACATATTGAATAAGGATCCAACATTTCTATACTTATCAAAAAAAGGATCCAATATTTCTATTTCCAAGTATTTTTCTCTACTTTCTTATCTATACAACACTATTACCTTTCTATACAATTTACTATCAATTTAAGGCCATGACCCCATGCCATGATTCCTTTCATCCCAGCTCTGTACACCAAGGTTTGCATTTTTTTATTTTTTTTTTCTTTTTATTATCAATAGACAACCAAAGAAAAGCTTACAAGTAATGAAAAAATACCATCTGATAAAAAAGAAAAAAAAAAGAAAAACATGGATCCCTACACTACATTTTATGGATTTATGGCCCATAGGAAGGGGGGACCCTAAATGAATTCAGGAATTCAGGGAGGCTGAAGATTGCACCCAGGGTGTGGCAATTAGCCCTAGGGATGCTTTGAGCCATATTAACCCACCCTACTGATATACCCTAGAAGGTTCTGAATATAATATTTACTTATTAACCATATAGCAGCTTCCATACAAGTTTAGGATAGCTAACTGATGTTTTTAGAATAGGACAACTTTTCCTAGGAGAAATAATCTCTCTTTCTTCCTTCAAGGACAAGTCTTGTAGACAGTCCAAGATCCACATAAACAAATTCATGGACTTCATTCATTCTAATTTCTTACAGGCCATAAACAAAAAGAGGGCAATTTACTAGCCCTTGGACTACTTTCCTAAAACTACTACAACTTAAATAGTAAGAAACATTCTTATCGGTCCATGTAACATAAATGGACACTTACTAAATTTCACTAAGACAATTTAAAAATATTCTTTTAACTAAAACTGACACATCAGCACCTAAAATAAAAATAAGAAATAGCTTAAATACTAAGTAGGCGACCAAAAGGTTGAAATAGGATCCGATTGCTCACTCATAAGTAGGAGTTTTTGTGATCTGATTGCATTTTACCATTCCTTAAGGCAAGCCCTAGGGGTGGTTGAGATAGCTGGCTTTACTAGAGAACTTCTAATATTCTTTGTTTTTTTCTCCCATGAACCTCAATAAGCTGGGAATGAGGTCAGAAGTTGTTTTGAGCCCTTGGTTTTTGGATGTTTGAACTTTCTTTTAAATTTCCAAGTTAGATCATATCAACCTAGCCATGCACATGCTATTGTATTACAGAGGCTAAAGTCAGGGAGGTAATAAACAGCATAAAGCTGCTAAAAGTCTGAACTGATAAAAAATAATGCAATCAACTTGTTAGCTGCAACATAGGCCTTCCCCCCACCCTAAGGAACTAATATGATCATTTAATGAAATCCTGGCCATGTTTTTTTTTTTTCTCTTTATTTTATCACTATTTCATGTGATGTCAAAATTTCAGCTGCCACACCAGATGGTTGGATCACTGAACTGTTGATCAACATCCCTTTTGATTTGAGGCCTGGTTTATTTTTAAATTATTAACTTGATTTGATCAACTAAATGGTCCATAGGAAGGTAATTTTCTCTAGGCTGGACAGGTTGCTACTTGATCAATTTCTAATGTGAAGGTAGTCCTCCATTAAAGGGAGTTTGACAAGGAACTTGGTTTTCAGATGAGTAGGCATACAGCTCTGAGTCCGTATGAGTCTAGGCTACTACTATTTTTCCTCAGATTGTTGATGCTAGTAAGAAAAGATTGCTAAGTCTTTTACTTGCAGAATAATATAGATGAATTGAGAGTAACATTCATAAGATCAATTAAGATTGTGGTCAGAGCAACTGATTTGAATGCATTATAAAGTTCTGGTACTCAAGTGCTTTTATGGAAATGCAAAGAAGTTCTGGTATTACTTCTTTCAAACCAGTGGTTGCTCAAGGCATGGTAGGATCCCAAACAGTGTGTTGGAAAACAATCTCTGAATAATTGCATGCAAGGAGCATTTCCTTATTATCAGATGAAGATCATTATGAGTCCTTAACAATGTTCTATGAATGCAGAATAGCATGGGTAAAGTTAGTGTGGCATTGAATGGACCAAACAGGAAGGTGTTAGAAAAAACTGATTTTTAGATGTTTATGTATTAGTTATCTTAAGTGCTTGCATTTAGGCTTGAAGAAGTGGAATTAAGTGTTTCTTCTTGAGCAGTTCTTATTTTAGCCTTGAAAGGCAGATGATCATAAGAACTTGTTTGTGGTTGCTGAAAGCTTGGATTTAATAACAAAGACTTGCATCTTCTCTATTTCTAGGATTTCTTTGTAAATTGTATCATATTGCGAATTTAGTTTTCTCAATAGTATGCATTAGATGTTTTTTAAAGAATATGAATAAACCGGGTCTCGATTAACACTTCATATGCATCTTTAAATCTTAATTGATTTACCTCAGCTAAATTCTTGTAGTTGCTGCTAAGTAATGGACCAATGACAGGCTATGGTTCTCACGTATCATTTACTAGAAGAATAGAGTAGGGATGGTTTATGATTTTTAATTACAGGTTATTTGGGTGGTTTCTAGGACATTAGAAGGGTGGAAGGTAAGAATTGTTATGGTGCAAGCATAATTTGGTGGATTAGTGGAAGTTTTTCTATAAAGGAAGGTGAGCTTTATCATACACCACCACCAACCATGCATCTCAGGGGGGTCACAGTTTAACAGACAAATTCTAAAACGCATGAAAGCATGGTAGTATCAGGGGTGCTAGGGATCATTGGAATGTAGTATGGTTTTTGGTGGTTTATGACTTTACAGGTTTTGAAGATCTGTTAGAAGTTAAGGTTTTCAAGAAGCTGATCGATTTTCAGTCTAGGTGATAATCTAAGATTTTAAATGGACAAGGAGATCAGCTAATGGTTGATGGAAATTATAATGAGTTCTGTAGCATTGTAATGAGGACCTCTTGATGGAGGGCGAGAGAGGATTCAGAGCAGTAGGAAGATGGAGGTCTGAGGTGTCAATTGAAGCCAAGACGTTCAAGTTCGAAGAGGAAAGGACCAAAGGCAAGGTTGTACTGAAAATCAGAGAGAATAACAGGGCGACAGTGTTGGTGTCAAAGGAGGTTATAGCATGGATGAAAGGTTTCRTAGATGGGGCTATCAACTCTGGTAAGGTGAATGGTTGGAAAAATTCCATGTCAGTTCCAGGCAAGAGATATGTAACAGAACTGAATAGAAACAAGAAGGGGTGGTTCGTCACTATGGTGGAGTTTTTTGGAACAAATGGAAAACAAATGCTTTGTGTGCTGGAAGGGAGATTGCAGAAAGGGTGGATGGCTTTTGTGCAGGTGCTGCAGTCTTACCTTGTAGCTTCGGAAGAGAAGGGAGTGGATGGAAGGAAGGCAACTGGCCAAAAGCTTGAAGACCAGAGTCAAAAAACTCAGGAGGCAGCATCGATTGGTACCTCTGGGAGTGTAGAAGTGCAAGGCCATTTGGGTCCTGAAATGGTGGTTGCTTGCTCTTCTATTCATCGAAGAATATTGGTAGGAGTGGGGAAGGAGGAATGGAAGAAAATAATGGTGTTAGTGGCTGATAAAGGGGTGACAGATTGGAAGAAGGTTCTGAGTACAGTTGC